GACGGCCGGCGGCGTACTAATAACGAACGGGTGGCCATGGAACGGCAGGGTCTGCCTTACCGGCGCAAGCGTCTCTTCGAAGGAAGCGCGGATCACTGATACCAACACAACGGAGCCGACCGGGGAATACCACGGCGCGCGGACACACATCGATTCTATAGATACCTGTTGAATGCATCCAAGCCCCGACGCCCGGCACGTTGGCGGTCAACTAAATCGAAAAGGGGCGAACGAACCGGCGGAAAGTGCGACAACCTTGCGCTTGTCAACCCTTGTTCAGCGTGCCGACCTTTTTGTCTCCTTTTTCAGCTGTTTCGCTGACTTTTTGTCCTCCTTTTTGTGGTCTAATTGGGAGACTTCGGTGGGTGGGAACTGTGTGGTTCATAAGAGTAGGTTCTGCAGCTTGGTTGGGGTTACGGTGTTGCTTTGAGTACTGTGCTAGCTTGGGAGGAGTATTGCTTTGATGGTAATAGTGTTAGCTTGGAAGCTGCTTTGAGGACTGTAGCTTTGGAAACTAAAATCTTGCTTTCTAACTATGAGGTCGCAATGACAACTACAGCATCGCTTTCGAAACTGTACTGTAGCCTTGAAAACTGTAGTGTCATCTTGAGAACTACAGTATTGCTTTGAGAGCTGCAGTTAAGAGCTGCGGTAAAAAAGTGGGATTCGCTCACATTAGAAACTGGTTTCCATTCGCGCCGAATCTGTTAGAATACTGAACGTTGTACGGTCGCGTGCTCCGAAGCGATGATTCAGTGAGCGAAGGATTGCGACGGTTACTCGATACCCTTTCTATTCTTAGTTTCTAAGAGATGATCGTAGATAATTATTCGAAAGTTAGAAAGTTTTGAAGATGTTGGTAATTGATACTGTTAAGTGCGTCTTGCGAATTAAACTGCTGTAGGTCTCTAAATTTCAGCTGTTTATTCTTCGAACTTTAGTGAACGATCTCCAAAAGTTTCCATTGAATGTCAATCGGACGTCAGTGTTTCGAGTAATTCCTGGTGACAATACAAGACGTACATGAACAATACAGAAATTACAATTTCAGTTTCACCTTCAAATCACTAGTGATCCAAGATCTCTCGGAACCACGATCATCATCAATACTAGCGCGAGTGAGGCAAGTCAATGCAAATGCAGTACTGGCGCACCATATAAAAAACTTAACTCGCGCCGCTATCGGTGAACTTTAACCCTTCACATCAATTCGTTGCAGTCAGCAATCGTTACATGTAGGTCTCTTAAAAAAAACTCTACAAATATTCTACGTTAACCCCTTGCCCTATGATTTCTTTCCCAATTCCGCTCAACAGAGATGTTTCATTGAACATAATTTAGTCGAAAGAGTGACAAATTCTACACTTATTCTATGTCTAATTAATAACAGAAAAATAATATTCAATTCGAACTTGGAAGAATTAAGTGATTTATCTTTGTGAAATTCTATTCGGAATCTTCATCGCAAGTCTGACCCGATATTGTAGACTAAGGGGTTAAACATTGCAGATATTCCTACGTTCGAAGTCTACAATAAACGCTTTTGTTCATCAACTCCTTAAATTTGAATTTCTCGACCGCTTTCCCAACTTTCTCACTGAACCAATGTAGCTCCACTGTACACGTTTTCACGGAATTTCTCAAGCATAAAACTCCCCTAACACTTTCTCAAAATAATTACCATCGTTTGCATCCTACAATTGTTGCAATTTCGTGCGTGTACGCCCTGCTTCGGATCAGTTAGCTAGCAACGCGATACATAATTCATTTGGCGAGATAAAATGTTCATACTTGGAATACTGAGTTACAAACGAACGATTTAATTACTTGAACAGCAAGAGATCAGTATATAATTCCCTTCTTTCCTATCACTTAACACTAGATTTACTGACATTCACTGTACAGTTTATTCTATTGTTCTTAGAAAACTTTTAAGAGGTTAAAGAGTAAACAATAATTATACATATTTGCATAACTGCGTTAACTCTTTGCACTCGAGAGGTGACTCTCAATCACCATTTGATAGAATGTAACAAAATTACAAAGTGTTATATATAATATTAACTCTTATATAATGCATTAATATGTGAAATATTTATATAAAATAGCTTTGTTTCTTAATTTACGTATGCTTTCTCATTAGTTCGTTTCAAGTAGTATCGTCCATGTCTCATCGGAAAGTGTCGAATATTTCTAGTAAAAAACTTCGGAGTGCAAAGGATTAATAAAAATCGACCCAAACATTTATCAATGCTTATCAAATTCGTTAAGCATTCGATGTATAATTTAGCTTCATATGTTGCAAGTATTGTTCCCTAAAGAGTCCTCGTCCGCAAAGGGTTGAAAAAGAAGAGAACGCGTCCCACGTTACGAACGTTTATCGAATAATAATGAACAGCCTCGCTTGAAAATCGAATTCGAACGTAAAGACAGACGTTAAAAGGGCTTTGCCCCTCTGTCTCTTATTTACTCCGGCTCGTAAACGAACGCCGGAAGTATCCTCGGCGCTCGAACACGCGACATAATTTGTCCGGGCGAGGCGGAGAACCTTGCAAACTGAAAACTCGCGATTGCACCGGTGCACAGTTGCAAACAAGAGCCGCGCAACGCAGCGGAGCTTCGCCTCGGCATGTATAGAGAGGAAAGAGAAACAAAACTGCAAGAGGCCTCGGTGCGGTCTGAGAATACCAGTTGCCCGCAGTTTATGATACGTCTATTCGGATCGCTCGAGTACTCGCTCGTACGGAGTCCGAGGAGGTCGGTGCACCGGTTATTTCGCGAGACGCGATATATTCGAGAAGCGATTGCATCGGTATGGACAGATTGTTGAATACTGTCTTATAACCGAGTTACGTATTTCCTGTTCGTTTCGTGCCAAGTGGAAATATGGATAAGGAATTCCTTATAAATCAGATGCTGTTCAATATCAACGTGCCGCTGATGCTTGATTAACCCATTGCAGTGGAGAGGTAACTCTCGCGGCTTGATTAGATATAGTGAAACTAGAAATAATATGGAATATTAAACTTTGTATAATGTATAATAAAATTTTTGAATTTCTTAGATTATATTGTTTTAGAATTAGAATAAAATTATTATGCTCTTATTAAAGCATTATGCTTTTATTAACATAAATGTCACACGATTTTAGCAAAATAATCAAAATGGAAGAAATGTGATGTTAAATCATTTCATTGAATTGCATTATTATTATTATTGCATTATCTAGCTGAATGTCACCGTATCAGGTAACGTTATGTATAATATAGAAATATTTTCAAATAATCGTTTTATTGAATGAACTATAGTAATTCAATTTGGTTGGGGATCATCCGTGACTTCCATGATATTCAACGTGTTAAAAATATTAGTATTTAAAAATTGTTAAATTATGTTATTATATAATAATACATTTCCTTGTTTCTTGTGTGAATTATTATTAAATTACAGTGAATAATATTGTTTATATTTCGTCGAGTGTTGAATGTTTCTAGAGAATAGTCTTCAGTGCAAAGGATTCTCATTGGAACTATCGGGCATTAAAATTAATTTGTATTTTGTTGTAGTAATTATATAATGGGTTTATTGAGATCTTGGATTTGTATTTTGAAATAGTCATTGGTGAATCAATTGTTGCAGTAAATGCTGAGAAAAGTATGTATTTCATTGCCAAGAATAGTGCATACTATATTATATAAATACTTTGAGTTAATCACTTTGGCAAATGACGTTCATATTTGAACAAGCGTGGGTACCCACGTGAGTGACACGTGTTCGCCATCTCTGGTAAAATGACCGAACTGCATAATAATGCATATTTCTGATACAAGATGGCGTTACTGCACTGCACGCTCGAGGAAGAAGCAAAGATTCAAGTTTGAAGCGCAGTTCTCTTTTAATGCTTCCAGAAAATTAATTGAATACAATGATCTGAATGTGCAGTTTACATGTTCGACCATTTTTAATTGCTAGGATTCAAAATTAAAACTTGAATATACTGTAGAAATACATTACCCATTTCGTTGAAGAAAATTACGCTCTTTCACTCCAACTGAATGTTAACTGTCATGGTGTCAGGAAAAGGCGCCAATGCTGATCCGATTCTGATTAGAAATCTATAATGAGAATGGAAGGTAAAGTTCGTTGGTTTTAGTAAAATAAACGCAAATGTATTAGTACACTGAATAACAACTATGGATATTAAATAATTCGAGTTTAATTCGAAATTATATATTTATAGAACTGGTCTGTAGAATTGGTATCCGTTGGAGAACAATACCGAAATCAATGATGGAAATCAGAAGTTCTTTTCTTAAAATCCGATTAATTCTTACTTTAAAACGTTAACAATACATCGACGCATTCGTAAGCAATAAATTTAATATTTATTGCGGTTGAAAGGTAATTAAAAATGAATACCTCACTGGAACGGTACCGCGACTCATTCTGTTTCACCGCCAACTTACAAATGACACCGTTAGACGCCGAGGAGTGGAGGAAACCGGAAGTTCCTATTTGAAACTTCCCGCGAATTGGAGAAGTATCTTAAGAATTTAAATAAAGAAAAATATTATTGGCAAACGTAACTGAAGTCGGAGTAGACAAAACAGAACATTGTCGAATGAAACATACTTTATAAGCAAAATTGTATTTCGTTAATTTAACACTTGTAAACATAAACAATTTAATTCGAAATACTTGTCACGACATCTATAGCCGAATATTTAAACTAATTAGCTAGTTAGTTCCGTATTTTACATTTAGGTGGTAGTGTACTATCATTTGAAATTCTCCATGAATAATTAATAGCATAGACGAGATAATAAGTTAATCAAATATAAGACGAACAAGTTTGTATAACTGATTTAGTTTATTTACTACTTGGTCAACTTCGATCATTTTGTTTGATATGATTTTCCTATTGACAGTTTTATAGGCAAAGAGAATATATTACATGGAGTCCTATAAGCTTGCAATGTAATTGCTTGTAATTGAAAAGTGCAACGCATAGTAGTTATTGATTATTGGGGTATTAATAATTTCTAAAGTTTTTGTATATAATAATATTTATGTTGTGAGAGAAGCACGTATTCAGATGCTACTATATTTAGAATATTCTCCGTTTGTCCATTGGCCACCCTGATTTCTGCACTAGATTTAATTAGGTTGTTTGTGAGTAGTTACATATAGCTCCTACCGTGACCGAGAGCACAACTAACTCGGGAGTAGCTGGTCGCGTGGTAATAGGTCGATGAAAATAATCGGGGCCTTAGTATATACCTGAGTGAAATTTTGAAAAGATGTGGCTGGAAGAATGCGACAGTTTCGCCGAGTTATGTCGGGGATATCTGCCGTATTATTTACTGATCATTTTACCGATCTTTATTATTATATCCCCGGTCAACCCAGTTGCGGCATCGCATGAATTTCCAGTATATCGGATGCACCAGTATGACTTGCACGGTGAACCTCATGGTAACGTAATCTCGACACTTTTTTGGCCTAATTAAGTGTTACGACCGCGATAAGATTGAACTTCTCATTCAGGTTGCCGCAGTGCTCCAATTTCCTTGGAGGCCAGGTCCCTCACTGGATGGAGCACTTCCAGGCACTGTGTAGTTGCTAAAGCTCTGGACCTTACACCAACTCTATTCCATTCAATTAAGAACAAAGCTGGAGCCTTAATTGTAGTTCTACCAGAGAAAATTAATGACTTGACATTAGAAGAGAAGCAGGTTATCCAGTTAACTTATTTTAATGTTTATTGCTATTGGGATAAAGCAACTGGAATTATTCATTTTAGCATGTTATGAGCCTCGAAGAGTCCATGATCTTCGGACCAGAAACAGTAATACCAGTTTACTTCGCTACGTGGCATCCAGATTTACAAACAATTCTGGATGACCTTTCTAATGGATTTATTACGGATGAAAAAGCTGGTTCTGCTGCAGAAGCAATGTTTAACTCTATATCTGCCAGCGGTTATCAAGTTGTTGTGCCATCTGGACAAGCACTTCTTAAAACAGACGTTAAAGTGGCTACATTGCATGGTAAATTAGCTGGTACCAGAGCAGAGGAAAAGTTACCGACAATAGCTTTGGTAACCCATTATGATAGCACAGGAGTTGCCCCTGTAAGTGTTGCTTTTGGTATAAAATTATACAAGGTACAAATAACAAAAAATGAAGCATATATTGTTTAATAAATAGGAGTTGTCATTTGGAGCAGACAGTAATGCGTCAGGGATGGCTATGTTATTAGAAATTGCAAGATTGTTTTCTACTTTGTATTCTACTAATAGGTCAAGGCCACAGTACAACCTTGTCTTCATTGTAACTGGTGCTGGTAAACTTAATTATCAAGGTAGTAAAAAATGGTTGGAGGATCAACTGGATGGCCTTGAAGGCTCTGTAATACAAGTAATATACATTTTAAGAGTACTCATACTTTTACATGTCAAGGTAGCATAATTCATTATATGTCCTTGTATTAGGATGCAGCATTTGTTATTTGCTTGGATACAGTATCTACCAATGATCACCTTTATGTACATGTGTCAAAACCACCAAAGGAAAACTCCACTGGCTTTTACTTTTTCAAAGAGCTTAAAGCTGTTTCCGAATTATCTAATACAACTACAGTCGAAGGAGTTCACAAGAAAATAAACCTAGCTGACAAAACACTGGCTTGGGAACACGAAAGATACAGCATGAGGAGATTACCTGCTGCAACCTTGTCCACACTCAAGAGCCATGAAGATCCAATTAGAACCACAATCTTAGACTTAATGAAAGGAGGGCAAATAGATAGGCTACATAAGCATACTCAAGTAGTTGCTGAAGCATTAGCAAGGCATATATATAACTTAAGCTCTAGTCAGATTTTTACAGATCCATTGGTATGCTTGATTTTTTAAGAGGAATAGAAAAATGGAAGAGCATTGTTTCTAATGTTATTAACTTTTACAGGAAGTGTCAAAGGAATCCTTATCCTTATGGTTTGGTTACTTAGCATCGCAACCAAGGGCTGCTCCCTTATTAGCAGACAAACATAATATGTTAATCAGTACATTAAAGGAAGCAATGGCCAGATACCTTGGAGATGTCAAAGTTACCCTACATACCCCTGATAAACAGGATCCAGAATTTGTTTTTTATGATGTTACCAAGGCAACAATGAACGTGTACAGGTAAATATTGATCCCAGTTTACCATTATTAATAAAATGAACAACACAGTCAATTAACTAATTATTACATTGCAGCGTAAAACCAGCTGTCTTTGATCTCTTTCTTACAATCGCCATCGTCATCTACTTGGGGATGGTTTACGTTATCGTACACAATTTCCCACACGCATACTCCCTAGCAACTCGTCTTTCCGTCAAGAACAAAGCGTCATGAAACATTTATAGAAATTATAATTTGTTTATTGTAAAGAAAAACTCAATACAAATTTTTTAAAGAATATTAATATATAACGAGCATCATAGGTGTATATTGGAGATCAGACAAAATCGTGTGTACATTGATTTAGCTCATATTAACCCTGAATTAAAAACTATTCTACATTTTATTTAAATTCTTAATCATAGACAGTTATAAGTAATATATATTTCTAAACTGAAATTAATATGTTCATCCTCCTACTTCTTCTTCCAATTAATAATTGTGATTAATGATAGCAAAAATGTTTAAAATCATAAAAGTATGTGCTATCCGCATTCTGTTAATGGATTATTTGTCGCTTCAGAATAAATTAATCTGTAAGAGTTCGTGATAATTAAGACCAAGCATAACAGACCAAATAGTGAGATTTCAGAATGCAATTTATGACGAAAAAGACTGGCAGATTTAAGCATAAATAAATACAAAATATTAAATATGACAATGTATCTAGTAATAAAAATAATACTAATTCCAAATTTTGTATAGAATAATAGAACTTGTATAGAGTAATTGATGCATTTAATATTTCTGCTGACCAGTTATCACTATGTCAATGTACGATATTTATATTATGTAATTCACAATAATAGTAAAATCTGATCAATAAAATTCAGAAATAATGTTAAATAACAATAAATAAATAGTGTTTAAAAAAAGTATTAATCAAGTTGCAACGAAAATGCTTCTATAAAATTCTAGAGGCTAACATAGAAAACAGAATCCTTGAATGATGTATCGCTATAAATATTAATTAATTGTTATCGTGTTTGAAATAAAATTATAAGGAGGAACCATAAGATGACTGTAAAATAAATGTCACATAAGACTAACAATTGAATACATAGTTTGTAATAATGTTGTTTTTTACCTCACCCACATATTATATAAATATTAGTTGTAAATATTATTGCTTTTGCTTTTCTGATTTTAAAAAATATTAGTTGATTCTTTATTACGTAGTATGAATGTTGTTTACTGGAAAAGATTAAACATAAATCACTTGACAGAAAAATAAGAATAAGCTAGGTGTGAAAATCATTACATTACTAAACAGGTTTGACTAGTTTATACTTTCACTTTGTGAGGATCGGGTATTCTCAGTATAGATTCAGGTATACAAACAGTAAAGTTCCCCAAGATATGAATTCTATTTTTGAGAAAAGTATTCATTTAATTTTTACTTAAATGATTAAGTATTTTTTTCAAAAACTTCACATTTAAACATTTTATACTTTTATATCAATAGGTTTGAAACTTAATTATAAAAGATGGGTATTACAAAAAAGCATGAGTTCCTTGGTGCAGTGCATAAAACCAGAATTAGAAGCAATAAGAGCAGCTGGTACATGGAAAAATGAACGAATTATTGCTTCACCTCAACGTACTCGAATTTTACTAACAAATGGAATAGAAGCTCTCAATTTCTGCGCCAATAATTATTTAGGTCTATCCGTGAGTTTCAAAATTCCGAACATCCAAATCAATCGTTTAATATTATAATTAATCTTTTCCTTCATTTAGAGCAACAAAGAAATCATTTCAGCAGCAAAAGATGCTTTAGACAAATATGGAGCTGGTTTAAGCTCTGTAAGATTCATATGTGGTACTCAAGAAATTCATGTAGAATTAGAAAAAAAAATTGCTCAATTTCATGGAAGGGAAGATTCTATTCTTTATGCTTCTTGCTTGGATGCAAATGCAGGACTCTTTGAAGCCTTATTAACAGCTGAAGATGCAGTATTTAGTGATGAATTGAATCATGCCTCTATCATTGATGGTATCAGATTATGTAAAGCAAAAAGATACAGGTGAGAAACTTAAATAAATATATTATTTTAATAATGACTATAATAACAAATTATATTTACTGAAGGTATAAGCATAGGGACATGACAGATTTAGAGAATAAACTACAAGAAAGTGCGTCGTCGCGTTTACGTCTTATCGCTACCGATGGAGTCTTTTCCATGGATGGCACTGTTGCACCATTACCAAAAATACTTGAACTCGCAAAAAAGTACAATGCTGTCACTTTCGTGGATGACTGTCATGCTACTGGATTTTTTGGAAGAAATGGAAGGTAATTATATTAGTGGTACTCTAATTCCATGTTACTTATTTACAATATGCAGTGTAAAAAGAGATTTTAGTAACTACAAGTTAAGAACTCTACAGCGAAATAGTAAAATTTATACACTATTTATAATTATATTATTAATAATTAATAAAATTTATAATTATAAATTGTATTAATACATATATGAAGTCATTAAATTACAGAGGCACAGAAGATTATTTTAATCAGTTAGGAAGCATTGATATCATTAACTCTACACTGGGTAAGGCTCTAGGTGGAGCGGCAGGTGGTTATACAACTGGTACAAAAGAATTAATTGCTTTGTTAAGGCAACGCAGCAGGCCGTATTTATTTTCGAATTCATTGCCTCCTCCCGTAGTCGCATCAGCAAGTAAGGTACGCTAAAAAAGGAATTCCTTTGGATATTTCTTAAAGTAATATAATAATTGAGAAGATGGATAGTGCTTTACATGACAATATTAGATACTAAAAGCACTCTAGTTAATATTAAGGTTCTTTTGCATAGGTCATGGATCTAATAACAGAATCTACAGAATTTCTAGACCAGCTACAGAGCAATACGAATCTATTTAGAAATGCTATGAAAGCAGCAGGTTTCACAATTATTGGGGACAATCATCCTATCTGTCCTGTCATGATAGGAGATGCAAGACTAGCCACTGAATTTGCTGATGAAATGATTGGTATGTATTTTACAATGTATGTTTATACATAACATTTGAATATTTGAACAATAAGTTATCTTTTTACAGAGAAAGGCATTTATGTTACTGGTTTTAGTTATCCGGTAGTTCCGAAGGGTAAAGCACGAATACGTGTTCAAATCAGTGCTGCACACACACAGAATGATATAGAGCACGCTATAAATGCATTTGTGCAAGTTGGAAAACAACTTACAGTGATTAATTGATACACAGTTTTTACATTTGCCTCGTAACGTACTCGTGATATGACACAAATAAAATTCACACAATCTCTGTGAAATGCAAATAATATTTAATACGTAGACACCAAAGCCAAGCTTTTACATGCAGAGGGACTTGTTCCTACCAAATATAAATCAAAATATTACCTTTTATACAAGTTTTTCGATATATAAGATTTTGTCAGTTTATAAACGCTTTCGATTAGATATAATGTTATGTATTCTTATTAAATATCAACTTTATAGACATTAAGGTTTGTATGGCTTGATCAGATTTTCAGAAAACTCTTTGACTTGTTTGACTCCACGAACTTCTCTTTCTAACAAAGGAAGCTGTGTTATATGAAAATCTTCATACAAATCCATTATCTACGGAAAATAAAATGAAATTAAACTACATATTTAATTATAATACGTCTAATAAAATAATAAATTACTTGTTCCAAATATTTATCTTGTATTTTATGTCTAGCTAGACAAAGCTTGCAAGGTGCGTCTCCTTCTTTCAGAAATAGCAGCTGATTCACTATGATATTATGGGTATCTATTTCACACTTTGTAAGTTCCTGTACAAGTCTTTCTGTTTCATACAAAGACAAGAACTCTGCTATGCATACACAAACAAATGTTGTTTGATCCGGGTTTCTGAACTGTTCATTAACTTGTCTAATAACAGTAAGCATTTCCTCTATTTTATTAGAAAATGAATCTACATTGAAGTCTGTCATACCCAACAATGAGCTTATCTGAAATAAAATATGCTAAAAATTAGGACTGTTACTAGAAATATAACTAATTATTGAATCAATTTTTATATTCCCTTCCAAACCTGTGTAATGAAAGGACTAATTTTCATCTTTAATCGCATCAGTTTTCCCAGTCCCTTTTCAACAACTTGTGGAAATGATAGTAACCTTAGAGTATGACCAGTTGGTGCAGTATCAAAAACAACAACAGAAAAGTTCATTCCTTTGACAAGCCTGAAAGCAAACATTTTTGTACAAATGACATAGAAATATTAGCTATGTATTGATCTATCTGATTACTTGACTTAACACTAACTTCATAACTTCTGCATAACTCATTGCTTCATCAATACCAGGAAATGCCCCCATAATTTCTTGCATTACATTTCTACTTAATCTCATTGCTTCTCCATCTGAAACTGTTATATAATACTACTAAAAATCATGTTTATTTATTAAGTCATGATTGTAAAACACTATAAAGTGCACAACAATGACTACCCGCATCACTTTCAAAGTATTCTTCGGGTAGTTCAGCAAAACCAATATTCGGATCTATTTCCATTGCAAACAGATTATCGAAACCCTTCACTTTTGTCGGAACTTTGCTAAACTTCTGATCAAAAGCATCAGATATGTTGTGTGCCGGATCTGTTGATATAATGAGTACATTTTCCCTCACTTTCGACAATTGCACAGCCAAAGAGCAACTGAAACAATAGATAAATGACTAAGTAGATATCTTACAAATTTAATGTTTTATCTTATTTCACAGTTGTTTAAATTTTCTGACAAATAAACACGTTTCACAGGTTATGGTTACCTGCACGTAGTTTTACCAACTCCACCTTTACCACCGACAAATATCCATCGTAATGATCCTTGTTTTATTATATTCTCAAGGGAAGGCTCGTATTCAACTGGCTCAGAATCATTTGTACTCATGGTCACTGAAACGCAAGTCTTACGTGTCTAAAAACAATTCTTACACGTCATTTACTATTGTCACTAGTTAAAGAGATGAAGATGTAAAAGCAAGGAAACAGAAAAATCACGCTACTGGATACACATATGTGCTTATATCAATGAATACACAAAAACAATCTGAACACGTGTGTACGTGTACATAAGACTATCGAGCCTAGACTATCGATACCTACATCACTAGCGACACATTTATGAAAATTTCGTTTCAAAATTGAGGAAAATACGACTTTGTAACTCAGCCAGGAACTATGTACATTCAAACAGGGAATACCGATTTTTTTTAGAACTTTATTTAAACAAAGATTATACTAGTGACATGACTGATCAGAGGTATTATTGTAAAGCTCTGATAAAGGCAAGGCACGTAATCCTTTTCTTCCAATAAAATCCCACCAATCTGCCAGCGTGAAGTGGTGGTCAATCGATTATTCGTGAACAAATACTTTTATGTTTCTATAAGTAGCGTGACAATTCTATAAAAGTTCATTGTCATACAGTAATCCTTTCGAATGCAAGAAACTTGAAAATCGTACAGGTAAAAGTTCCTCAAGTTTTAAAAGCTTCTAGGGAGACCTAGTTACCGAATTAATACCACAAGAGTATTGTAAATATCTCCAGGTAAATTGCAGTCATTCGTTGTAAGTTGAGAGACGCTGCGCCCGATTTGAATTAGACAAAAGTTAGTGGTGGAACAAAGGTGCTGCAACGATTCTACCTGGTATATGTAGTCGTTTAAATAGTATCGACAGACACAAGTCGATTACTCGCTGGTGAAAAAACAGCTCAATATCGATTGTTATAATCGACTACAGTTTTACTACACACGATGGATGTGTAGTTTTTAATAGTAGGCTAATTTGGAAATGTTCGAAGTGTCTGTAAACCGTGGTCCCAAACGTTAGTGCACAGTGGTTGTTAATTCAAACGTGTTTCCGTGAATCCTGTTCCCCGAGTGAGAAGATTTTGTGTATAGTATGCCGCAGTTTCATAAAATTGAAATAAACAGGACCGAATGGGAGGTTCCGGAACGGTATCAAATGCTCACTCCAGTGGGATCAGGGGCTTACGGTCAAGTGTGGTAAGACCAGACAGTAATTAGCATATTACAGTTCCGTTTTTCGACGTATAATCCGATGTCCAAGAAGTTTGAATATTGTATGAAAACTTTAAACTACCTTGCTTTCTGTCTCATAACTAACGCAGTATTTTGTTCCGACCATGAACTAATAATCATAACCTTGACATTTCTAGTGTTTCTATTGCTTACATTTTTAGAAAGCCGTTGAATGCACTGTGACAGTTGATGTTTCATTTTTCATTTCGACTGTTCTTGTTCTGTTGTTTAATTGTAAGGCATCATTGCGGCAATTCGTTTCAATCGCATAAAGCGGTTTTACAGCTTACATGTATCACGGATCCTAAAATTAGAGCATCTGACAATGATATTCAACCAGTATAAATGCACAAGAAGTTGTTTGTTACATCAAGTTATATTTCCGTCGAAATAATTAAAGGCTTTTCGGTATCCATTCATTCTCCTGTTAGACTATTTTCTAACATATGACTAAGTAGGTAGTTAGTCATGAAATGTGCATCTGTTGTTTCAGTTCAGCAGTTGACACAACAACTGGGCATAAAGTAGCAATAAAAAAGTTAGCCAGACCATTCCAGTCAGCTGTACATGCAAAGCGTACATATAGAGAGCTTCGTATGTTGAAGCACATGAATCATGAAAATGTGAGTGAAGAAAAGTAGATTACATGTATACGTACATATATAATGCATTCTTGAAGTTGGCACTGTGAAAATTAGGGGCATTTAGACACTTTGTCTTGGCAACCAGAATTAAGAAGATCTATGTTGTTACTGAGTTTTATTTTTACTTTTCTAAATCATCCAGCTTTAAAAGCTATTATTAAATATTCTACTTCATTCATCTGAATTATTTTTTTTATTTTTTTATAATTATTTATTATCGAATATTTTTTTGTTTCATAGATAATATATGATTAATATTTATTATAGGTGATTGGTCTGTTAGACGTATTTCATCCCTCTTCCACTTTGGAAGATTTTCAACAAGTGTATGTATTCTTATCGATTTTTTAATTTAACTGTTGTAATGGATAAATAAGTTTGAACACTATTTACCATGTTTTAGTAACATCATATGCTTTTAATAGGTATTTAGTCACGCATCTGATGGGTGCAGATCTCAATAATATTGTAAGAACCCAAAAGCTTTCAGATGATCATGTACAATTTCTTGTATATCAAATTCTTCGTGGTCTTAAATATATTCATTCTGCAGGGATAATACATAGGGTAAATTTATTTTTTGTAATATCATTAGAAAAACTAGAGGGAACTTGACAGTACAGTACTTATATTATTTAGGATTTAAAGCCCTCCAACATAGCTGTAAATGAGGATTGCGAGCTAAAAATTTTAGATTTTGGATTAGCCAGACCTACTGAGAATGAAATGACTGGATATGTTGCCACAAGGTGGTACAGAGCTCCAGAAATTATGCTTAATTGGATGCATTACAATCAAACAGGTGATTATTTCTTCCTTACTCTCAAAATATTTTCTAACTGACTTCACAAAAATTAAAATCTATCTTTTCTTTTTAGTTGATATATGGTCAGTTGGATGTATAATGGCCGAATTATTAACAGGAAGGACTCTATTTCCTGGAACAGATCGTATCCTTTTAAAGCTCTTTAAATAATGTCTCTAAATAATCACAGTCGTTATTTGTGCTTTCCATTTATTTATATTCTACTAATATATGTAGGCCCCAATTTCATTTTATAACAAATGTAATAAGTATCACGAATCTTTAACCATCTTAAAATTAAAAGATGTGCTTTTTGCTAAGGCTCTACATATGGCTTTTACTTTGCTTTAACATCTTTCAGTGCTAATAAATTAATATGTTTTATTTTATTTGCCTCCTGGCACTCTTTGCTTTTATTTAGCTTTGATTCACTAGCAAGAGCAATGTAATTGTTTAAAAAAAGAAAGAAACATACACGCATATATAATAAATGTGTAATACATTTATTAACATGCTTCAATGCACAAAGTCATATAACTTAGTATGTCATTTAATAACAAAAAGTTTAGCGAAAGTAGAGAAAGGTGTGGTGGAACCTTAGCAAGAGCAGATATACATCAACTGAACTTAATAATGGAAATATTGGGTACTCCACGAGACGAGTTCATGCAAAAAATATCATCAGAGTCGGTGAGTAATACCTGAGTTATTAAGTAATAATTTAATCCTGTAACATTCTACTAGTGCATGCTATTAATTTACAATGTGTTACGGCTTAAATGCCTCGCATGCATTTCTTTATGGTATTAAAATGTACAATATTTGAATGGTTCCTCAATTACTGAGTTTAACAAAATGGAAATAAACATAACATAATCCATAGAAAATTAACTTTATAAGTATATATTACATTTTTGTGTTTTATTGTTTTTTTAATTATCCCCTTTTGGAATGAAAATTTCTGCTTCAAATAGGTGCAATTCTAATATACTCCACATTAATTCAAATCTTTCCCATTGTATGACAAATTATGCTTCAAAAATACCTTAACTTTAAGCAGCCATTGATCATCTAACACGAGTCTTAGTACTCTGTGGT